TATGAATAGTACCTTCTTATGGACGGTGGGTATCTTTGTCCTTGTTTTCTTCTCCATCATATGTTTGTCGATGAATTTCATGGGATACCCATTCATACTAAGTAGGTTCCGAATATTATTCAATTCTTCTTCGATGGTGTCTTCAGAGCAAATCATTCTAGCCCGATGTGTCAAGATTTTTATCAAGTTCCTTTTGTATCTGATTGGAACTGCACTATAGAAATGAGTGTATTGTCCTGTTGAAGATTTTCTGTGTACCCCTCTTAAATCATAGACACAACACGAAAGGGATTTTGACGAAAAAACATACAGAAGCTTTAAGACAACTTAAAACTAATGACAATTTATTATTCATGAAACCGGACAAAGGACATGGAATAGTACTCATGGACAAAAATGACTACATAAACAAAATGAAATCCCTTTTAAATGATAAAAGCAAATTTCAGAAACTGGCTGTGAAGAACGACATAGCAGATAAGATTGAAAAGCAATTAACAGATTCACTGAAAGAAATTAAACAACAAGGTTTTATTTCAGAAAAGATGTTCGAAATGTTGAAACCTACAGGAACGATGACACCAAGACTATATGGCCTACCAAAAATACACAAAAGTGGCTTACCCCTTCGACCAGTTTTAGATATGAATAACTCAGCGTATCATACTATAGCAAAATGGTTGGTGCAAATTCTTAAACCATTACACAAAGAAATTGTCAAGCATAGTGACAAGGATTCCTTTGAATTTGTTGAGAACATAAAAAATCTATCAGTCAAGAATAATTTCATATTATCACTTGATGTATCATCTTTATTCACTAACATTCCATTACAAGAAACAGTTGATTTTATTTGTAATGAACTAACAGAAAGACGTATAGAAACCCCGATTCCAGCATCCGCGATAAAACAGTTAATTCTCAGATGCACAATGAATGCACAATTCAGATTTGACAACGAATACTATAGACAGCTAGATGGAGTTGCCATGGGATCACCATTGGGCCCTCTACTGGCTGATATCTTCCTTGCAAAACTGGAAAACGGACCACTTAAAAGCATAATTAGCCATTTACCAACTTATTATCGCTATATAGACGACACCTTCATAGTACTAGAAAAAGAGAATGATAAGGACAATTTACTTAATACATTTAATAACGTTCATCCATCAATTAATTTTACATCAGAAGATGAACAGAACGACAGCATATCATTTCTAGATGTCCAGCAAAAAGAAGAGCAGACGGAACTTTAAAAAGAGGGGTACACAGAAAATCTTCAACAAGACAATACACTCATTTCTATAGTGCAGTTCCAATCAGATACAAAAGGAACTTGATAAAAATCTATGTCGTTCTTCACAGCCAGTTTCTGAAATTTGCTTTTATCATTTAAAAGGGATTTCATTTTGTTTATGTAGTCATTTTTGTCCATGAGTACTATTCCATGTCCTTTGTCCGGTTTCATGAATAATAAATTGTCATTAGTTTTAAGTTGTCTTAAAGCTTCTGTATGTTTTTTCGTCAAAATCCCTTTCGTGTTGTGTCTATGATTTAAGAGGGGTACACAGAAAATCTTCAACAGGACAATACACTCATTTCTATAGTGCAGTTCCAATCAGATACAAAAGGAACTTGATAAAAATCTTGACACATCGGGCTAGAATGATTTGCTCTGAAGACACCATCGAAGAAGAATTGAATAATATTCGGAACCTACTTAGTATGAATGGGTATCCCATGAAATTCATCGACAAACATATGATGGAGAAGAAAACAAGGACAAAGATACCCACCGTCCATAAGAAGGTACTATTCATAAAACTACAATTCATAAATGACACCATTGAAGAAAACTTAACTCAGAAACTAAGAAGAGCCGTACAAAAAACATTTAATGCTGCCAGATTAAATGTAATCTTCTACAACTATCCTAAGATAAGAACAGTAAACAAAGACAGACTGCCTGAATTCGCCAAATCTATGTGTATCTATCGTTTCAACTGCTCCTGTGGAGCCAGTTATATTGGGCGTACGATTCGGCAAGTCCGTCATCGCATTACTGAACATCATCCGTCGTGGTTAAACAAAGGACAGGTAAAAGTGATTAAAAGTTCTATTCTCTCTCACTTGGTTGACACAGGTCATCAAGTCGAATTGAATAAAGCTTTTAAGGTTATCTACAATATCCCATCTAATTTGCCACATGGTTTACGAGTGCGCCTCTTGCACATTGCGGAAGCCATCGCAATCCATGTTCACAAACCTGACCTTTGCATACAAAAGAGATTCGTACAACCACTTTCCCTGCCCTGGCCATCAGTTTAAGATTTCCTTCAAAAGAACTATTTTTCATACTTCTTCCATTTTTTAAAACTTTTGTAATTTTTGTAATTTTTAAACTTTTGTAATTTTATTTCTGTTGCTTTTGAACTTAATAACTTCTCAACATTCATCTCTTGATTCTTACGTAACTACCATCCTATTGACCATCCGTTAAAATTCTGTTCCTTCTTTGTTTCTTACATTACGCAACTTAGCAACTTCTTGATCACTTTGAATATTAATAATCCTCTCTCTTCCAATTAATTAATGTTAATTTAAATGTCATTATGTAATTATTACGTAACGTATCCACTCGATGAGTATTATATTATTATTGTAAAACGTATATATATTAGTGTAGAGCCATGATGAAAAACTAATTGAAAAGAAATTTCTTCGCTCGATTCGTTCCTTCTTTATTTACCAAATGGCCAAATGGGAATTTTCACTATATTTATTTTTAAAAGGGGGTTTTGTTGGGATTTTATAGTTAAGTTCATGAGTCAATTGAAGCTAGACCGCCATGGAGAAAGTGTTTTTAAATGAAAAATATTAAAAATCAATGCATAAATAATAATTTGATTAACGATACTTTTCAGAGAAATGAACTAATTTATCATAATCAATTTGTTTCACTGAGACTTCTTTGAAAAATTCGAAGTCTCTAATGTTCACTGAACGGTTTTTTCAAGAATGGATTGTAGAAGATACGTAAAACTAAACTAATGAAGACGATGTAGCTAGTCACTAACAGCTTAATCAAAGTGATAGATTTTTTATATTTGTAGATGCTAAGATCAAATTCGTGAATAAACGGTAATCACTGAACATAATACTGTAGTTTACATTCCTGACTTTTAATCAAGAAAATCCTTGATTCTCAGTGCTTGTCTATCTTCTAGTCTCATATCAAACTATGACAGCCTTTTATTGCTGGAATGAGTTGGAAAATCAATAACATATCTGACTATGGTACACTAGTATGCATAGATTACGTTTATGAATGGTACTTCCCTGAATCCACTTCGTCTCTAGAAATCAAACATATTATGAAATCTCCTAACGCACTATAGTCATGAACAATAACAATGAGTACCATTTAATTATGATCACAAACTGATATGAAAAATGGAGGTAATCTCTAGTAAATAAACTACCTAACGAACACTCTGTTGGGAAATGTGACATTTATCATTCTTCAAACTGACGTTATAGCTGAGCACATTTCCTAATGTATTTATGTTATTTTACGGATTACCTAATAATGAGGAAGTGAAGCAGCAGTCTCCGCATTAATACGCCTCGACGTACACAAAGGAAAAAGTAAGACTCTCAAATACAACGCAGAGAACATCAGCCCAATCACACTTGATGGATAAATCTGGAAGAAGTGGAAACTTCCACATATATTGGCAGCATCACCGATAGACAAGCACGATCTGATACAGATGTAAAGGCAAGAATTGTCAAAGCAACGGCGGTATTCCCACAGTTGAAGAACATGTGAAACTCAAAACAATTCTCTGTCAACCAATTTCATAGTCACAATCTTCAATACGAATGTCAAGACAGTTCTACTGTATGCAGCTGAAACTTGGAGAACTGTCTCAACTGTCATCAATAAGGTACAAGTATTTGTTTACGATTGTCTACGCAAGACACTAAACGTTCGTTAACCGGATACCATTAGCAATAGCCTAGTGTGGAAGAAAATAAACCAAGTAAGAAGTGAAGAGGAACTTAGGCAAAGAAGTTGGAGGTGGACATGAGATCATTGTGGAAATCATCAGATTGCATCACGAGACTAGCCCTAACTTGGAACCCTGAAGGGAAGCAGAAAAGAGGAAGGCCAAAGAATACATTACGCCGGGAAGCAGATATGAAATGATAAACAACAACTGGAAAGAGCTGGAAAGGATTGACCAGGACAGGGTTGGATGGAGAGTGGTTGTGGGCGGCCTATGTTCCTCCACGAAGAGAAACAGGCGTACGTAAGTAATGAGGACTCTATTATTAGGAGATCGCTGAATATAATAGCGTACAATTCGACAATAATAATAGTGTTATTCAGACTGATATCACCTTTGATTTTACATATTATCTGCATTTTTTCTTCAGTTTTTCATCAACTATTTCACAAACGTTTAGTCAAACTGATTAATTTATAAGTCATGCCATTAGAAATAAGTCTGTTCTTGTTATTTCCATTACCTTCATGTAGTAGTCCTGATTAATCCTGAAAATTGATGTGTGTTCTATGATCATGTTCAGAATATATCTTATTCAATGTATCATCAAAGGAAAACCGCTAGAAATAGTCAACTTGCCGTATTAACTAAAAAATTATTTAACGTTAAATGTTCATAAGAATCATATGCTACATAGTCGAAAGTAAGCAATAAAAAGATTTGCTTGTTTGCTTGAGTGAATGAATCACCTTTGAAGAAATTTCTGTATCACATAGACTTAATCCAATATTCATTAATATCTTAATCAAAATTAATAAAACAGAAGTGATTTCGCATTATTTCTATCTCCATTCCTCATCTATTCTATGGATTTGATCAAATACACAAGTCTTTCACCATTGTAATCAAACCAATTGTTATCAATAATTTAAAACAGAATGAATATAGATGAATAGTTTAAATAAAGAATCATTATAAACTTACATATTCTAATAGATCCGATGCTCTAGCTTCTAATTCTTGCATACGTTCTTCTATTCTACGTATTGCTTGTCCAGCTTCTTCACGTTCTATTTCATATCTTTGAAGACAATATTGAAGATGATCTAGCTATCATTGAATGTTGATATTTTATGTTACAGAAGAATGTAAAACAGAAAAAAAGAAGAAGCAAAAATGAAGTGATAAAAGAATCCTGTCTTTTTGTTGTGTTATTGAATAGCAGATTGACAAATTAATTTCATCTTTTGATCAAAATATGTATTTTTGGTAGTGAAATTCATGATATTCATATTTTGTTTTACTTGGGACTTTTCTACTGGACATCACTGCATTATTTTGGTGATATTCTTTACATTAGAACGCTAACTCAATACCTTTCGTTTCAAAAATACCAACTCATTAGACACTGATGTCAATATTGGCGAAGTACGCTCAGTATGCCCATATACCAATGAAAATAGTGCATTTAATTTTCATAATATCAACAACAGGAAAGTCAAAATACTTCTATGTGAACCCCAGTTCAAGATGTTATACTTTATAGTATATCTAAGAGTTTTCACTAAACACTGATGAATAGTCTTAGCCTATAACTGAAATACTTGCTTAGTTTAATTTACATATAAAGTCACAAAAGATGAATTCAACGAAAAGAAAAACAACATCTTGTTCAATTTATTCATTTTTATAGTTAAACAATCTAATAAACGTGTATTACACTATTAGCTTATAAACAAATTGTTTATTATAAGAATGTGATTTTCCTTATAGTTTTGATCAGAAAATCGACTACTTAATTTGCAGTAAGCACTTATAAATTGAATAGTTTATGACATAGAAGAAACACTGGGGGTTAGTGTAATTAATCGAAAATTTAGAATGAATAACAAATCAAATAAATAATCAAGAACGTAGAATAAATCGGAATATTTTTGTATATGAGAAACATATTAAGTCATGATTAAGACAAGTTTATAATCAACTGTTTTCTGTTTAAACAACTCTTGGATTAAAAGCGAAGATGGATAGTGGCTAGTAATGGAATCCAGTTTGACGCACGTTTCATCCTATTTGATACTCGTCAGATGGATGTACCTGAACCTCAGAGTTGGTGTTCAATATAAAACTCGAATCCAGTACCGTTCATTTCAAAAGCCATCGCATTGTACACTTGGCTGTTCAGATACTTATATACTATCCATCCTTGTGAATTAAGGGAATATCGAGGCAATATGCACAGTATTCATATATGCCTATAAGAGACTGGACAATTGAAGTGCTAAATAACAGTAGGAAGATCCAAGTAAACAGTAATAAGCGAATTTGGTTCTTGGATTTCAGTTGTCAATGGTTAAAGTCTCTAAAGTGTAGATCGGATTTAAACATATACCGCTTTCAAAATATGACTGATTTATACAAAAATGCTAGTATATTTTGCGAAGTTGCTATGTTCGAGATATTATGGTATCACTTTAGTAGCGGCAAACAAATGTTTACTAGAAACACAATAATACGACGAAGCTAAGCTATCCCTTTGTGTGCCAGCCCTGGCAACTAGAAGAAGAAGAAGAGAGTCAGCATGGAAAACATGTAATTCTACATGCAGGCCAAAAGAACAAATGACAAGCACTCAACACACGCGTAGTATCTACAATACAAAAATGTCCTTGAAAAGCGTCACAAAATAGAGCACTAAAAGGGCAAACGAACCAATGACTTCTAAAAGCCTTTCAGGTGTGAAACACAAACTGAAAGTAAAAATGGGTGCTTTTGTCGCGGAAATGAGAAATTCACATTTCCACAATTAAATTACAAACATAAAAAGTTTACCGAGTGATTTCTGAGAATCTAGGTTCCTCAATAGAAGTACAGAGTTTGCTTGATTTATATTGTCCTTCATTAATTCAAGCTGATATATATAATTATACAGAAAGAGTAACATCGAGGAATAAATTATTCTTTTGCTGAATATCTCATATCTTGACAGTTATTTATAATATAGTTTTTAATTTTACTGAAACTTTATTACCCAACTCATTGTTTTATCGTTAAAGCACTCGAATTTTTTTCAGTCTTATTACTTGGCATTTTGCCTGAATTGCTTCAATATTTGTATGTGTATGCATATACATTTGTATTTTATAAATTATGAATTTCCATATTTTTATCTATTACTCGGGAATGATTCTATTACTATCTGGTTATTTAATTCTAATCTAATATTTTCCATTTTCTTAGTGTATCCTGAAGCTCTTCCTACTGTTACTACCGGTCTCAAGCATGGGTTAAAGAGAAGGACTAGGCATGAGGTAAGCAATTTCATCCCGTAGAGAGAAACCTTTCCAAAATATTTCTAACCAGAACAAATCATTCGAACCACTTAAACTCTGCCCCTGGATTTGGTGGATGTTCATTTAGAAGAGTTAGGATGCCTAAAGGTGAAAGTCGATATTCTTCGGAAGTCGCAAGGCCAATGGAATGTCCGGACAATGTGGAAGATCGTGGTTTCCAGAATCGATTAAACCTGTTGGAACCAAGCTTGACATAAAAGATTTAATTCGAGAAAGATACTGTCAGACTTAGGTCATGAAAAAGAAAATGCTTTGTACACACAGGAAGCTGAACTGATTATGTCTAAAGAAACACAAAAAGCACTTATAGGTTGAGAATCTCATGGACTCAGAATCGTCAAAGCATGCTTCAAAACAAAGAAGGGATTAAAATGAACGTTATTCAGTGCTGTGCGCCAGCAGTGATAACAGTAGAGACGATGAAGACCAGTTTTATGGGAGGCTGTAATCAATTGTAGAGAAGTTCCAAGGAAAGGAACTGACCATACTGATGTCAAACCTAAACGTCAAGGTCTGAGTGGACAACATCAAGTATGAAGACATCATGGAACAACATGGACTAGGAGAAAGGAACGAGAAAGACGAGACATTTGCAAACTCTTGTGTATTCAACAAAATAGTTACAAGCGGAACAATATTCCCACACAAAGGCACAAACAAAGATATATGTGTCTCACCAGACTACCTTACGGAGAACCGGATCGATCATATCTGCATTCAGAAGGTCAACTGAAGATGTGAGAATAAAGAAAGAAGCTAATATAGCTTCAGATCACCACCTGGTGGTTGCCTAGATGAAATTGAAGATAAAGAAGCATTGGACAACTGGACAAAAAGCATTGCATAAGTTCAATACGGCCTTCCTTCGACATACTGACCAACTCAAGGAATCAAAAATAATTTTAGGCAATGGGATTCAAACCTTACAAGATCCACTAGGGAGAAAAACTTGAAAAGGACTAAAGAAGTACTAACTTCAACATATCAGTTGGTTTGGTAAGTGGATAGAAAAGACATTAATAACTAATGATACAGAATACACTGCAAAATACTCATAAAATTGTTGAGTGTGTATTTTAAGATTCAAATTGAACAGTTCGTTAGGATAATACGCAGATCCAGGTTTAGTCGTTCTTGCTTTACACTCAAAAAGTTCTAGAAGTATGCTACTTAATATATTCAAATTAATGTAAAACAGGTCTTCAGACGTTTTTGGATGGTTGTCAAATTCGTTCAACTTGCTACAACGTAATCTTAATCACTCTAGTTTACCTACACTTATTGATCACTGAAAACTCCTGTCTTTCAAACCATTAAAACACAATGAATTCTGCCGATAAAATTCAAATGTAATTATTTGTCTAAATGACCCAATATCACACACACCATACTTTAAAGTAAAAAGATTACAGGCAGTTGACTTCAGCTCATACACCTAATCTTTGGGACAACCAACATTAATCATCCACACATATCCGGAAACCTAAGGAAACGTCTATTTCTTATACCATCCAAACGTAAGTCACTTTCATAAGTAGCTGTCAGTTTTTAGTATCAGTTTTGTTCTTTCCATTTAATGGGTGCTACCTTCCCTTGTATATAAGTCATATTATACTAGCTAGTGGCCATATTACAACGTAATCAGTGAAATTGAATTTATGATAGGAACTAGACAAACATCAACTCTGAGGTTTAGGTACATCCAGCTAACGAGTCCCAAATAGAACAAAACGCGCATCCTGGATTCCACTGCTAGCCACTATCCATCTTTGTACATAATACTTGTGACTTAAGGCTATATCAAGTCAATCCGTACAGTAAGCACATATTCCAATATAAGATTGATCAATCGCAGTGGTAAACATCAATGGGAAGATTCAAACAAACAATACCATGTGGATTTAAACATTGTATTAGTTACCATTCAATATTGAAAGCTCATTACTGTTTCTATGCAAATAGCGATTCCAGTAGTGACACTAGGTTGTATATATATATATATATATATATATATATATATATATATATATATATATATATATGTCTTATTTCTACATTACTGAACTTACACTTTAAACCAAACAGGTGTGTATGTACCTTCACACATGTGTAAACATGATTATTTATTTAAATTCAAATTTAAATGAACTATAGAAAAAATCGATATGAGGCCAAAAATAATCGATCAACTTTAACATTTCTTTCCTTAATAAACGAATTTTAATTTTTATATTGAAATTAGATTCACATGTTAGCAAATGCAAACATGCACGCACATGCACACACACATGCACACAATGATCAAACAAACATCAGCATGAATACAACATTTTCTCTTAACTATTTTATACATTTATTTACTCAAATAGAATATTGTGTCATTTGCTTCTAATTTACCAAAAAATATAACAATCATAATCCGTACTAAACAGAACCGTTAAAGTATAGAGATATATATATATACAATGAATATGGTATGTTGTTTATAGACTTTATTGACTTGGATCAATATTCTATGTTACCAAGTACTCAAACAATTTTAACATTTAAACAAAGGCAACTAATCATTGTAAATTTAATTTCCATATAGTGATATTTGATCTTTGGTTTCTTTTTTATATTAAGAACAAAAGTAACTATCCTGATGAATCATTGAATTGTCTACCTTAAGTAATAAATAATGGTTAAGATTTGATTAGAATTAAAGGCGGCATTATATAAACTTATTTATTGAAGTATAGTTTCTAATCTATAATA